CAACAAGTGGACTGGGATTAGGTCAGCTAATCTTGTCTGTCAACAGATCCCGTAATCTCTCAACAAGTGGACTGGGATTAGGTCAGCTAATCTTGTCTGTCAACAGATACCGTCCTCTCTCAACAAGTGGACTGGGATTAGGTCAGCTAATCTTGTCTGTCAACAGATACCGTAATCTCTCAACAAGTGGACTGGGATTAGGTCAGCTAATCTTGTCTGTCAACAGATACCGTAATCTCTCAACAAGTGGACTTGGATTAGGTCAGCTAATCTTGTCTGTCAACAGATACCGTAATCTCTCAACAAGTGGACTGGGATTAGGACAGCTAATCTTGTCTGTCAACAGATACCGTCATCTCTCAACAAGTGGACTGGGATTAGGACAGCTAATCTTGTCTGTCAACAGATACCGTAATCTCTCAACAAGTGGACTGGGATTAGGACAGCTAATCTTGTCTGTCAACAGATACCGTCCTCTCTCAACAAGTGGACTGGGATTAGGTCAGCTAATCTTGTCTGTCAACAGATCCCGTAATCTCTCAACAAGTGGACTGGGATTAGGACAGCTAATCTTGTCTGTCAACAGATCCCGTAATCTCTCAACAAGTGGACTGGGATTAGGTCAGCTAATCTTGTCTGTCAACAGATACCGTCCTCTCTCAACAAGTGGACTGGGATTAGGTCAGCTAATCTTGTCTGTCAACAGATACCGTCCTCTCTCAACAAGTGGACTGGGATTAGGTCAGCTAATCTTGTCTGTCAACAGATCCCGTAATCTCTCAACAAGTGGACTGGGATTAGGTCAGCTAATCTTGTCTGTCAACAGATCCCGTAATCTCTCAAAAAGTGGACTGGGATTAGGTCAGCTAATCTTGTCTGTCAACAGATACCGTCCTCTCTCAACAAGTGGACTGGGATTAGGTCAGCTAATCTTGTCTGTCAACAGATACCGTCCTCTCTCAACAAGTGGACTGGGATTAGGACAGCTAATCTTGTCTGTCAACAGATCCCGTAATCTCTCAACAAGTGGACTGGGATTAGGACAGCTAATCTTGTCTGTCAACAGATACCGTCCTCTCTCAACAAGTGGACTGGGATTAGGTCAGCTAATCTTGTCTGTCAACAGATCCCGTAATCTCTCAACAAGTGGACTGGGATTAGGTCAGCTAATCTTGTCTGTCAACAGATACCGTCCTCTCTCAACAAGTGGACTGGGATTAGGTCAGCTTATCTTGTCTGTCAACAGATACCGTCCTCTCTCAACAAGTGGACTGGGATTAGGTCAGCTAATCTTGTCTGTCAACAGATCCCGTAATCTCTCAACAAGTGGACTGGGATTAGGTCAGCTAATCTTGTCTGTCAACAGATCCCGTAATCTCTCAACAAGTGGACTGGGATTAGGTCAGCTAATCTTGTCTGTCAACAGATACCGTCCTCTCTCAACAAGTGGACTGGGATTAGGACAGCTAATCTTGTCTGTCAACAGATCCCGTAATCTCTCAACAAGTGGACTGGGATTAGGTCAGCTAATCTTGTCTGTCAACAGATACCGTCCTCTCTCAACAAGTGGACTGGGATTAGGTCAGCTAATCTTGTCTGTCAACAGATACCGTCCTCTCTCAACAAGTGGACTGGGATTAGGTCAGCTAATCTTGTCTGTCAACAGATACCGTCCTCTCTCAACAAGTGGACTGGGATTAGGTCAGCTAATCTTGTCTGTCAACAGGTACCGTCCTCTCTCAACAAGTGGACTGGGATTAGGTCAGCTAATCTTGTCTGTCAACAGATACCGTCCTCTCTCAACAAGTGGACTGGGATTAGGTCAGCTAATCTTGTCTGTCAACAGATACCGTCCTCTCTCAACAAGTGGACTGGGATTAGGTCAGCTAATCTTGTCTGTCAACAGATACCGTCCTCTCTCAACAAGTGGACTGGGATTAGGTCAGCTAATCTTGTCTGTCAACAGATCCCGTAATCTCTCAACAAGTGGACTGGGATTAGGTCAGCTAATCTTGTCTGTCAACAGATACCGTCCTCTCTCAACAAGTGGACTGGGATTAGGTCAGCTAATCTTGTCTGTCAACAGATCCCGTAATCTCTCAACAAGTGGACTGGGATTAGGACAGCTAATCTTGTCTGTCAACAGATCCCGTAATCTCTCAACAAGTGGACTGGGATTAGGTCAGCCAATCTTGTCTGTCAACAGATACCGTCCTCTCTCAACAAGTGGACTGGGATTAGGTCAGCTAATCTTGTCTGTCAACAGATCCCGTAATCTCTCAACAAGTGGACTGGGATTAGGTCAGCTAATCTTGTCTGTCAACAGATCCCGTAATCTCTCAACAAGTGGACTGGGATTAGGTCAGCTAATCTTGTCTGTCAACAGATCCCGTAATCTCTCAACAAGTGGACTGGGATTAGGTCAGCTAATCTTGTCTGTCAACAGATACCGTCCTCTCTTAACAAGTGGACTGGGATTAGGTCAGCTAATCTTGTCTGTCAACAGATACCGTAATCTCTCAACAAGTGGACTGGGATTAGGTCAGCTAATCTTGTCTGTCAACAGATACCGTAATCTCTCAACAAGTGGACTGGGATTAGGTCAGCTAATCTTGTCTGTCAACAGATACCGTCATCTCTCAACAAGTGGACTGGGATTAGGACAGCTAATCTTGTCTGTCAACAGATACCGTCATCTCTCAACAAGTGGACTGGGATTAGGACAGCTAATCTTGTCTGTCAACAGATACCGTAATCTCTCAACAAGTGGACTGGGATTAGGTCAGCTAATCTTGTCTGTCAACAGATCCCGTAATCTCTCAACAAGTGGACTGGGATTAGGTCAGCTAATCTTGTCTGTCAACAGATCCCGTAATCTCTCAACAAGTGGACTGGGATTAGGACAGCTAATCTTGTCTGTCAACAGATCCCGTAATCTCTCAACAAGTGGACTGGGATTAGGTCAGCTAATCTTGTCTGTCAACAGATACCGTCCTCTCTCAACAAGTGGACTGGGATTAGGTCAGCTAATCTTGTCTGTCAACAGATCCCGTAATCTCTCAACAAGTGGACTGGGATTAGGTCAGCTAATCTTGTCTGTCAACAGATCCCGTAATCTCTCAACAAGTGGACTGGGATTAGGTCAGCTAATCTTGTCTGTCAACAGATACCGTCCTCTCTCAACAAGTGGACTGGGATTAGGACAGCTAATCTTGTCTGTCAACAGATCCCGTAATCTCTCAACAAGTGGACTGGGATTAGGTCAGCTAATCTTGTCTGTCAACAGATACCGTCCTCTCTCAACAAGTGGACTGGGATTAGGTCAGCTAATCTTGTCTGTCAACAGATACCGTCCTCTCTCAACAAGTGGACTGGGATTAGGTCAGCTAATCTTGTCTGTCAACAGATACCGTCCTCTCTCAACAAGTGGACTGGGATTAGGTCAGCTAATCTTGTCTGTCAACAGGTACCGTCCTCTCTCAACAAGTGGACTGGGATTAGGTCAGCTAATCTTGTCTGTCAACAGATACCGTCCTCTCTCAACAAGTGGACTGGGATTAGGTCAGCTAATCTTGTCTGTCAACAGATACCGTCCTCTCTCAACAAGTGGACTGAGATTAGGTCAGCTAATCTTGTCTGTCAACAGATCCCGTAATCTCTCAACAAGTGGACTGGGATTAGGTCAGCTAATCTTGTCTGTCAACAGGTACCGTCCTCTCTCAACAAGTGGACTGGGATTAGGTCAGCTAATCTTGTCTGTCAACAGATACCGTCCTCTCTCAACAAGTGGACTGGGATTAGGACAGCTAATCTTGTCTGTCAACAGATACCGTCCTCTCTCAACAAGTGGACTGGGATTAGGTCAGCTAATCTTGTCTGTCAACAGATCCCGTAATCTCTCAACAAGTGGACTGGGATTAGGTCAGCTAATCTTGTCAACAGATACAGTGACAATCTATTTCTGAACCTAAAGAAGAAATCATGACCACAGTCTAATCTGAGTCGGGAAAGAACTCAACGATGAAGAAACTAACAGGGTCCTAAAATCTCAATACCCTGGCTGCATTACTAACAAAACAACAATGGAGGCTATCTAAAGTCTGTTCTGGAGATGTCAGAACAAGACTGGCCACAGAAACTCAGAGATGTCACTGCACGAAGAGTATGACATATCAGCATTCAAGTGGAGTATCAATCTTGACAAAATGCATCTTTCCTGTGGCCACATATGGGTATGAACCATGCAATAAATCAAGAAAAGGAAAACTGCTGACATTCTACAAGATCAGAACATCGGGGGGGGGGGGGGGGGGGGGGGGGGGTGGGGGGGGGGTGGGGGGCCTCATAAACAACATCATGCTTACAAGAAAACTAACTACTTTTTATTTTAAACAAAACTTGTACTTAATACTTGAATTAAACACTTTAGAAAAAAGTACTGGAAGGCTTAGTGGTTGGAAGAAAATGTATGGGTTGACCAGCACAAAGCTGAACGCTGAACATGGGACGCTAAAGACACCATGAGGCAAAGCAGCCAGCATAGGACTGAGATTCCCACCAGCGGACTGTGTTGGCAGCCAACATGAGACTGAGATTCCCCCCAGCCGACTGTGTTGGCAGCCAACATGAGACAGAGATTCCCCCTCAGCCGACTGTGTTGGCAGCCAACATGAGACTGAGATTCCCCCCAGCCGACTGTGTTGGCAGCCAACATGAGACTGAGATTCCCCCCAGCCGACTGTGTGGGCAGCCAACATGAGACTGAGATTCTCACCGCCCGACTGTGTTGGCAGCACCATTCTGCTGACCTGCCAAATGAAGACTGTTGTTTATAACAATCGCCCCTACACAAATATAACATGCACAATTCTATAACTTCATGTTTACAAAATAATGAGAAAAAAAATTATATTTAATAACACAACCTGCCCAAAAAAGTATTTGGTCAAGAAAATCAAACAAGTAAACACATGAATCAACCAGAAAATGTCATGTGACAGCTACAGCTCATCCTTGACCTCTGACCTTTGGCAGAGTTTCTTAAAGTGGCACTGGTCGACAAAGTCGTGGTAGTAATCCCTGACCACATTGTACGGGCAGTACAGTTCCTCACAACCTGGGATCAATGCTGGCTCTTCATTCACAAACATCCTGAGGTAATAATCAGCTTCCTCAATCTCCTCATCTTCTCCAAACTCATCCGGCACACACTCGTATAAAACAAACAAAATGTTGCCAGAAAATGGCAGAATGTTGCTAGTCCGAAACAAACGTTGACTCTGCTGGTGGTAGTTGTCTGCCCGTAGAGGTAAGGTGTCGTTAAAGAGGCCCAGAGCTGAATATAGGGGCCCCAGAGTTTCTGCATGACCAAAGGCAAATTGGCCCACAAGTAGCCTGTCAACAGATTTAACAGGTAACATTCATCACACAAGAAACATTGATTCTGATATGAAAACAATAAAGTACCTTTCACAGACTATTTGAAAGACTGTATAACAATTAAATTATTTTTAACTACATACCAGTCCTAACAAAGTTTCCTCCTTCTTCCTGCTGATCAGCTTTGAACTCTGGCAGAAAGTTCTGGCCCTTCGTCCACTTCTAGACTTTAGTCTTGTTCCAGATCTTAAGTTTTAAATGTCCATTAGTTTTTAACTCTGGCAGAAAGTTCTGGCCCTTCGTCCACTTCTAGACTTTAGTCTTGTTCCAGATCTTGAGTTTTGTATGTCCATCAGTTTTTAACTCTAGCGAAAAGTTCTGGCTGTTCGTCCACTTCTGGACTTTAGTCTTGTTCCAGATCTTAAGTTTTAAATGTCCATTAGTTTTTAACTCTAGCGGAAAGTTCTGGCGGGTCATCCACTTCTGGACTTTAGTCTTGTCCAGATCTTGAGGTTTTCAAGCACATCAGCTTTGACATATCTGGCTTATTTGTATGCAGACTGCTGATAGACAGATCTGGTTTCAGTGTAGGGACTGTTGGTTCCTTGCTTCTCCGGCAGATGCACTCCAACTTCCAAGAAAACTTTGAATGTCTCTTTTGACATACTTGCCAGGAAGGAATTGGGTCTATTCTTGTTTCCCTCACAATGGCACCCTACAACTCACAATGGCACCCTGCAACTCACAATGGCACCCTACAACTCACAATGGGGCCCTGCAACTCACAATGGCACCCTGCAACTCACAATGGCACCCTCAACTCACAATGGCACCCTACAACTCACAATAGCACCCTACAACTCACAATGGCACCCTACAACTCACAATGGCACCCTACAACTCACAATGGCACCCTACAACTCACAATGGCACCCTACAACTCACAATGGCACCCTACAACTCACAATGGCACCTGCAACTCACAATGGGGCCCTGCAACTCACAATGGTACCCTACAACTCACAATGGGGCCCTGCAACTCACAATGGCACCCTACAACTCACAATGGCACCCTGCAACTCCCATGGGTATTCCGAACAAAGTCACAGAGATTTAAAAAAAAAGTTTAATCTTTTTAATAAAAAACTTGAACAAATATTTCTCTCTTCTCTGGAAATGCCCATCAAATTGATAATGCCGTCCCCCTCCTCTCCCACACATATATGGACACACACACACACAAACACAAGAACATACTGAATATGGACTGATGATGTCATCATCACACAAATCACTTCATCAGATTTCCAAAAGTGGGTAAACAATTTAATTTACTACAGTAAAACCTCTCGATCAGCCGTCTGCCTGTAGGGTAATGACAACGGCTAGAAATGAAACTCTTTCTCCTCAGACTCGTACCAAAGTCAAGTTAGTCATTGATGAACTGGTCACTTACCCGCCTGGTTCTTCACCATCGTCAGCATTCTCTATATCCATGATTGTCTCATCCATGGTGGCAAAAATCTCTGACACCAGGGGGCAGCTCTGTTGCCAGGTGATGTTATATCCATAGCCATTTTTGTAGTAATGCTGAATAAACATTGAGGACATGATTTCACCAGACATTTCAAACCGATATCTAAACACACTGAAGACATGAGTACACCAGACATTCCAAACCGATTTCTAAACACACTGAAGACATGAGTACACCAGACATTCCAAACAGATATCTAAACACACTGAAGACATAAGTACACCAGACATTCCAAACAGATATCTAAACACACTGAAGACATGAGTACACCAGACATTCCAAACAGATATCTAAACACACTGAAGACATGAGTACACCAGACATTCCAAACAGATATCTAAACACACTGAAGACATGAGTACACCAGACATTCCAAACAGATATCTAAACACACTGAAGACATGAGTACACCAGACATTCCAAACAGATATCTAAACACACTGAAGACTTGAGTACACCAGACATTCCAAACCAATATCTAAACGCACTAAAGACTTGAGTACACCAGACATTCTAAATCGATATCTAAACACACTGAAGACATGAGTACACCAGACATTCCAAACCGATATCTAAACACACTGAAGACATAAGTACACCAGACATTCCAAACCGATATCTAAACACACTGAAGACATGAGTACACCAGACATTCTAAACTGATTTCTAAACACACTGAAGACATGAGTACACCAGACATTCTAAACTGATTTCTAAACACACTGAAGACATGAATACACCAGACATTCCAAACAGATATCTAAACATACTGAAGACATGAGTACACCAGACATTCCAAACAGATATCTGAACACTGAAGACATGAGTACACCAGACATTCCAAACAGATATCTAAACACACTGAAGACATGAGTACACCAGACATTCCAAACAGATATCTAAACACACTGAAGACATGAGTACACCAGACATTCCAAACAGATATCTAAACACACTGAAGACTTGAGTACACCAGACATTCCAAACCAATATCTAAACGCACTAAAGACTTGAGTACACCAGACATTCTAAACAGATATCTAAACACACTGAAGACATGAGTACACCAGACATTCCAAACAGATATCTAAACACACTGAAGACATAAGTACACCAGACATTCCAAACAGATTTCTAAACACAATAAAGAAATGAGTACACCAGACATTCCAAACCAATATCTAAACGCACTGAAGACTTGAGTACACCAGACATTCCAAACAGATATCTAAACACACTGAAGACTTGAGTACACAAGACATTCCAAACCAATATCTAAACGCACTAAAGACTTGAGTACACCAGACATTCCAAACAGATATCTAAACGCACTGAAGACTTGAGTACACCAGACATTCCAAACAGATATCTAAACACACTGAAGACTTGAGTACACCAGACATTCCAAACCAATATCTAAACGCACTAAAGACTTGAGTACACCAGACATTCCAAACAGATATCTAAACACACTGAAGACTTGAGTACACCAGACATTCCAAACTGATATCTAAACACACTGAAGACATATATTCCAAACTGACATCTAAACACACTGAAGACTTGAGTACAGCAGACATTCCAAACCGATATCTAAACACAATGAAGACATGAGTACATCAGACATTCTTAACCAATATCTAAAAAATATGATAGCTACAACTGTAATAGAAGAAGCTGAAGAATATAATATATACCTCGGAAGTAAAGCTATTCCAGATGGGGGTTCTGAAAAGGATGTAACATCAAGAATAAACACAGCAAACAATGCTTAACAATTTATGGAGGCTAAGGGATTTAGTTTGAAGACATAACTCAGATTATACAAGAGCAACATTTTAGGAATATTATTACACAAGCGTGGGAACCACCGTGGTGTAGCAGCCAGAAGCCTGACTGCCAATCGGAAGGTCGTGGGTTCAGGTCTAAATAGAGCCTGACATTTTGCCTTAAAAAATGACTTTGTCTCCAGGTTGACCAAGTCTAATGGGTACTAGGTACAGTCCTGCACACAAACATACACACACATATATGAACAGGCCAACATCTTCTTGTTAAAAAACTACACTAAAAAGTCTGGTGAAAGAATCCGATATCAGCATTATTTGTGTCTTTCTGCCATGCCATCTCTTAACATTATACTTCTGTCGCTCTTCATCGTGTATTAAACTACTAAACATTTTTCATCTTTCACTGTGCTGTCCTCCCTCAGCCACCCAGCTTCACCTCATCAACTCAAGTTGTAAATAAAATGTGATGTGTGATTATTTCTCAGTATGCCCTAGCCAGGTGACTTTTTAGTTTTACATATTTGGTCATACCGCACTAAAGAAATCTGGCCACCCTTTTTTTCTATTTAAAGGAGTCTGCAATAGAAAAAAAAAATCTTGGATACCTGTACTGTAACTAGACAAGTCAAAATATCTAAACCAGCGCATGACAAACCATCCACAGCTGGGATCGAACCTGGCACCCTGGCATTATGCAGTTCATTTGCAACACCCAAGCCACAGACTGAACTTAGCCTTAAATGGGTACCAGACAAAGTCCTGGGAAGTAAAAGCAGCTACTACTGGTCATAAAATACAGGTCTAGCCTGAATATGTGGAAAGGGTCCTGTAACCAGAACAAGATAAAGACCTTTAGGAATCCCAACAAGATACTGACCTTTAAGTCTCCCAGATACTCCAGAATCTCCATGTCACTCTCATCCAGCAAGGAGCACCAGGGTGATGAGTCATAGACAGCTGTCTCATAGCCACAGACAAGGTAGATGAGTCGGATGTTAGCTGAAAGGAAAATCACGGATGACTGAGTCAGAAGACACAATCAGACAAGCATCCATGTTGGAAAACAGCAATAAGAAGAAGTGGGTCTGTGTGTTCAACAAAAAAAAGACTGGCTCAACAATGCAAGGATTGTTCAGCAGGCAATGTGGAAGCAGAAATGTAGCCACTGATTCCTGACAATTTCCACTCGGGTGATGTGAGTATTGATACATATGGCAGAAGTGAGAGTAAACAAATGTATTGGAAAATGAACAGGCAGACTGGCTGGCTCCGCACCAATGAGGTGATTGATTGGCACCTTTCCGTCTTTCCAGATGATGGTGTTATACTGCGCTGTGAGGAGGCATGGGACTCACAGTCCATGGCGATGGAAAGTGTGACTAGCAAGACCATAGCACAAAGCCTGGGCAGTATTGTAGAGACCATATGTTGTCCATGCATCATGATCCCTCCCTCGACCTGCCTTGTTTACTCCAAAGGAGAAGTAACACCAGTACATTTGGAACAAAGCAGGCTGCAGAAGCTGTCAGATCAGAAGAGCAGTGCTCTATCTGTCCGCCTGACGAAGCTTCCCTTCTAGACCAGCTGCCAGCCAAGGCCAAGGGCCTGGTCTGCCTTGCTATAACACAAAGTTTTCAGGTTGCATTTCCTCTTCCTAGGATAAGGCTGGTGTCCTCACCAATGCGCTCCTCCGCCCGAAGCCGTTGGCACAATATGGGATAATGAGTGGTGAACTGGTGCATTAACTATCTGTCCCAGGGAACGCATGACGCTCTAATTTGTTTCAAAAGCGCGGCTCAATCGACGGGTGACAAGGTTTTTAATCTACCACTGACCGGTTTTGAAACGCAGACCACCCAATTTCAACTTTATTTTGATTTATTTGTGTCTGATATCAGGCGTGCTCATTTAGAAACGTGGTTTGAAAGCCAAAAATATAGTATATTTAGATATTTGCCGAGTTTATAAATGTTTGTTTGAAAAGAATATGGCTGCCAAGCAATATTCTACACGCATGCCAACATGATTTACAGCTTTAGAAGCCTCAAAAAATAAAGTAGGTGTTTATTCGATTCATCTGAAGTTAGATAGATAATGTTGCGAATTAGACATATTTCAGTCATTTATAGAGTCAAACTGATGAGAGAGATGTCTAATGTGTACCTCATGCGAAGGGTACAACGATAGCAAAGTCACATGGCATAAAAAGAATAAAAATTGGTGAAAAGATGATTTTCTTCAGTGTCAGTTAATTTTAGTGCTATTCCCCCTATTATTTAGGAACATAGCTACAAAATTACAGGCAAATTGAGTGATAGATAAACTTTGTTTTGTGTGAAGATGCTTATTGTTTTGGGAGTCAGTTTTTCTTCACCAAATAATGGTGCTTTGTTATGATGCTTTAAAAGATTCTTTGGAACAAAATCTAATGTATAGACTGAGTTTATATTTTACTTATACATTACTAAGTGGTTCATATTCATTTGTAATTCAGTCTGGATATATTTTAACTAGTTTTCTTTGAGTGCTGTGGTGGTTAGTGGAAATTTTTTTTATTTCATTTTACTAATTTTTGTAAACATACCATCTGTTTATTTACTAATTTTTAATTACTAGTGCAATTATTTGTTGTAGCTGTATTCTATAGTTGTTCCTCAACAATCCCTGGTCAATTCTATGTAAAACGTGTATGTTGCGCGGCAATTGGATTATTATGGTCTGTTTTAATGTGTTACACTGTGAAATTAAAAAAGTGCATTACCATCCCTTGGGCCTCTGATGCTATACCCCCTTAGGATTCAAAGAGTTAAAAGGCACACATAGAGCACTGGCAGCACATGAACATGGCAAAAGAGCAAATAATCATCACATTCTTGAGAAATGTAGAATGGCTAGTCACCAGAGGATCTAACCAGCACCCAACTCTTGGAGGAAAAGCAACAAATACACACAACCAGACTGCAGCCATTAGTACTGGAACTCAGTGGTGGCTGCTAGAGATGTGGACAGAGCACTTATGAAAATTTACTGAGTTTTTGCTTAACTCATATGATCTCATCATCAGTTACTAGTGGTCATCAGAATTGGAACTCTTTGTTTGCTGCTGAAGATGGGGAAGGAGCGCTTATGGGAGTGTGCTGAGTGCTATGTCGATTCTCAATTCAACATTCAATCTCATCATCAGATTGGTCAGCTCAAAAACTGGTGCTATCATCTTCTGACCCTCCACTGACCAATATTCTCGTCGTCCAAGTTAGTTAGAAGAGGAGTTGATATAATCAATCACCACCACCCTCTTCTGTCTCATATTCTCAACTTGAGGAGGGAGGGGGGGGGGGGGGGAAGCTTTATTGTTGAATGTGCTTTTATCCATTCCTATTCTGATTTATTTCTTTTCCTTCATGAATCAGACAGAATACACTTACAGACAGCGACTGTCAACTTGAGGTAGGGCTGGGGCAAAGCTTTATTGTTGAATGAGCTTTTATCTATTCTTATTCTGATTTTTTTCTTCTTCTTCATAAATCAGACAGAATTCACTTACAGACAGCAACTGCCAACTTGAGATTGTTGACACTTCCATATGATTTCTTAACACCCCCCTCCCCTCTTTGAAATCAGTGGCCATCCTGTTATTAATTTAATACAAACCTGTAGTGAGGACATCAGGACCTATGTCTAACTTCTTGTCAATTTTCTCTTTAATTCTGACCACTCTCTCATTGGATAAAAAGTCGAAGTATTCCTTGAAGGCCGTCTTGTTGCTCTCCACACTGAACACGTACTTGGCACACAAACTGAAGAAACGCAACAGCTGATCGTTGACTTCCGAGTCGAAATCATCTTCGGCCTCCTCGCCTCCATAGATGGTGCTACTGAATCCTTCATAGAAAGCTGCCGCGCTCTGTTTGGTCCTCTCCTGGCTGGAGACCAGGAACCTGAAATTGCTCGTATCTTCGTCAGAAAACAGCGTCGACAGTTTGGTGGCTATTCTTCTACCCAGCGCTTCTTGTTCCGACTCTCCGAGAGATGATAGAGCTTTGTTGTTGTTACTAGGAAATCTGTTAACCCAGTTGTACAACTCTGGGTTGATGTTCGGCTCCATGGCCAGGACGAGTTTGTCGTGCACGGCAGATATCTCCTGGACATCGTCTAAGCCAGGATACCTGGCTCCGTGTCGGATCACGGCGCTGGCATGAACGGCCGAGCACGCCTTTCCCTTGATGTCTTTCAAGTAATACAGCTCGTCCTCCACCGGTTTTGGGACCGGGTGGGTCCAGGCGTATGGGGTTTTTGTTGAAAAGTATTTATTAGGTAGTGTTGATATAGTGAAGGAAAATAAATCCATGTATACGAGGATGTAGAAGAGCATTGCAGAATGAAGTTTCATGGCGGCTGCCATCTTGACTTCTGCAACTTTCGTACACGATGATTGTTTGAATAGTAGGAAACACCCGAGCCGAGGCCACTCCACTAGTCACCAGTGGAAGCATCATATGCCCCTCTGCAATCAGCTTGTAACAGACAACATGACGAGATAGCTCTAGAGACCTACAGGGGATGATTACACATTACATTACACGAATAAATGTTTGCATGTGAGGTGTTGATATATCGTAAGACTTAAAGATTTCCCAGATCATGCTAAATATTCTCAAAGATGGGTTGCACAATACGAGAAACACAATGAATTTTTTTAAGTAGACATAATATACTGGCTTAGGTGTTACGAACGCGCTTCGTAATGCCGGGTTTGATCCAAGTTGCGGACGGTTTGTCTTGCACTGGTTTCGACAGTGGTACCAAGAGCTGACCCGTAAGTTGGCGGTGGTAAGCTACTGAAAGTACAATTTGCTCAGGAACCCCCCTCCCCCCCCCCCCCCCCCAAAAAAAAAAAAAAAACGTCCTGTAAAGGATACACAACTAATTTTTTTAAATAGTATATTAAACGGAGTATTCTATTTCGTCCTACAAAATGCTAGAAAACAATTTCTGCAATAGTAAATTATTAAAAGTAATTGCAGGAATCGAGAACACAGATAAACCCATTAAAAGCCTCCTTCACACGGTTCTCTCTGAATACCCACATTGTAAGTGCACACGAGCCAGTTGTAAGCATGTGTGGTGTGGACACTGAGAGAACGGACACGGGGAAATAACTGGGCATGCCATTTGACAGATGGTTGCTATACAAGTGCTATGTAGACAATGCCATACTTAGAGTCAGGAAAGGTCTGACAGCACTCAAGGTGCAAGCAGCAGCAGATATTGAACAACTCATACTTTTCTTTCTATAACAAGGGCTTTGTGTTAGGTGTCATTGACTTCAGCCTGGGCCCCCTCACTATCAACAGAACCCAGCTAGGAAGACTGGACAGAGTACAAAATGAGGCCATGAGACTCATACTCGGCTGTACATGCCATGCCATGCCATGCCATGCCATGCCATGCCATGCCATGCCATGCCATGCCATGCGATATGACCTGGGTTTGCTGACAATGGCTAACATACACAAAGTTACACAGGCCAAGGCGTACATGAGGGTATCGGGAGACATTAATTACCCGCTGCACAAAGCTATACACGACACAAAGGGAATGCATCTCAAAAGAGGTATCTCCTGGATGGCCAAAGCGGAAGACTTAATCCAGCAGGTATGTGACCCAGACGAGATCATTCACGGAAAAGAATGGACGAATACACCAGTAGAAATGCATGGCATCTCTAAGGTTGTCATCACACTTGGAAGAGATCAGATTCTTGCGGCCCCAGACACAAGAGGTAAGGGAACTGATGGATCAGCATTTACACCCAGAAGACATCATCATCTACACAGATGGATCCGGGAAGCGCGGATCAAGGCCAGCATGGGCATACACAGCGCAAGGGATGAGGAAAAAATATAAGATGACAAGGGCCCTTTCCAGGAATTGTGTCGAACATGACCATGGAGATAGCCCTGATTCTAGATCACTAACGTGGGCAGCAGAGCAAACAGCCACACATGCAGTAATTGTATCAGACTCCGTAAGCATGCTTCGGAAGATAGCAACAGGCGGTATAAGCTCTGAATGGGTAAAAAGAATTCGAAAATCGCACTTAACCTCGCTTAACTGAATCTACACACCTGGTCATGCTAGCATTAAGGGTAATGAGCAAGCGGACCAATTGGCAAGCAATTCATCAACGCATATGGGAAGAAGCATGGACAGAGCAAATATCACCAGGGCTGTACGGACTGGGCTAGTGGATAATGACAAATCTCTGATACTAATACGGCTGCGTGACATGGTAGTAAAGCATGATGAAGCACGTCTATGCCATCTTCGAGGCCGAAATAGGAGACATTATAGCCAACCTTACATGGGGACATGCAGACAAGAAAGTCAAGCTGCTGCTGAGGAAGAAGTGAAGGCTTTGATTGTCGAGAATTCTCTACAGAGGGATACTCTCATTTACGGAGATAGATCTGTAATTCGCCATGTCTTGGGTTTTTACGGCACAGGCTGAAGTTAGAATTGTGAAGCAAGATTTTGGTGCGGTTGCCTTGACCACAAGTAGTCTGACTATGGAGGTCATGGCAGTCACCAAAGCAATGACAAGGCTGGAGACACAGACCTTTTCCGGCGCTTGTTTTCTCAGTGACTCAGTGAGTATGCCCATGAAGATAGTTAAATGCAGGTTATGAAGACAGTGGGTGGAGTCTCTAAAGCCGTCCGGGCTGACACATATTAGTTTCATATTTGTGCCAGGGCACGCAGACGTGCAAGGAAATGAGCAAGCTGATTGGCTTGCAGGTAAAGCTATTGTGGAGGTTGGACCAGCCATGAACCGGGCTGATATTCTGAATGCACTACGAGAAATAAGACGTTTGCGAGAACCCAGTGATGATTGTGAATCTGCAACAATGACCAGACTACAAGAACAATATGTTAAAAGAAATGTGGCCAGACAGAAGCACTATGCAGGAAGCCAAAGAAGAATAAGAAACCAACACAGGATTGGTGTCATGAGCCGCTACACGCTGCAGGATTTACGCAGGAAGGGATCCCAAGCACTTATGGACTAAATGGATCTAAGTGCAATGAGGATATTCTATCGGCTAACTAACTATCTCATGTGAACAATTAGTAGAAGTACCATGGAATGGCTGCTGCATCGGAGGACAGCACGCATGGAAATGCCCAATGTGCAATGACGCCGATTGTGAAAACATAACGTAACATATAAAGGGGGGGGGGGGGGCTAATATATATACTGATTATAGCTCAAATTAATTGAACAGGATACAGTTTTTCAATTACTTGTACTACTAGTATGTTTCTGTTATATAATGTTTCGCATACAGTTGCCCGCTGGCAGTCTGGAGTCACCTGTACTACTGACACAACTGCGCATGGTGAGAAGTGGGTCAGAGTCATTGCCCAACAAAACAGCCTTGCATTAAGTGATAGTTACCTTGGACTGCGGGTGCTGGCACAGGTTAGCTGGTCAAACTGAGGCATCAGTAACAACAGTTGATCAGTTTAAATTCACACACAGGAGACATCATTATATACACAGGTGGGTCTGTAGTGAGAAGTCAGAAGAGCGAGAGGGGTTTTATTGCAAAGGTAAAATGACACAGTTTGAAAACAGAGGGAATCGCATGTAAAGTCACAACATCCAGTATGAGAATGGAGAGAATCGCATGTAAAGTCACAACATCCAGTATGAGAATGGAGAGGGAGGCAGTCACCGCAGCTTTCCGAGGGCTTCAGAGCAGCACGTATTGACGTGTTGCAAATATAACGGACAATTGAAACTGGCATCCTACGTGTAGAGTGGCGTGCAGCACTTGATAAGACTCAGGAGCATATCATAGATTTTCTGCCCAGAATATACAGGCTGATAGATTGGCTGTTGCTGCCCCTCTGGATGGTGAGCTACTTTATTAGAAAATAGATGTGGTAAAGGTTTTGAGATTAAATGAGCAGTAGAACAGAAAATACAATCAGTACATTGAAAGAATAATTCAACGAGGAGGGGTGTGGAGAGAGCTTTTGAAAGATATTCAACACTGATGGGGAAACAAAGGTGGACTTTTAATCGGGCTGCAAGTGGTATTATTAGTACGTGGACTCTTTGTTGGTTCCTGATGAAGGAGACAGAGCATGTGTGGGAATGTCACAAGTGCAGTTCTTCAATCATTCCTGCCTTTCAGAAAATGCAACAAGAATCGCCATGGCAACAAAATGCGTCAAGCAAGATATATTAGTCACCGATAAGAAGATGTCAGCTGTAGTGAGAACAAGCGTGTTCAAGTGCTGTCTATCAATAACTTCTGTTGTTGTATGCAGTGGTACATGGACAAGAAGAAGATGTCAGCTGTAGTGAGGACAAGCGTGTTCAAGTGTTGTCTATCAATAACTTCTGTTGTTGTATGCAGTGGTACATGGACAAGAAGAAGATGTCAGCTGTAGTGAGGACAAGCGTGTTCAAGTGTTGTCTATCAATAACTTCTGTTGTTGTATGCAGTGAGACATGGACAAGAAGAAGATGTCAGCTGTAGTGAGGACAAGCGTGTTCAAGTGTTGTCTATCAATAACTTCTGTTGTTGTATGCAGTGGTACATGGACAACAAGAAGATGTCAGCTGTAGTGAGAACAAGCGTGTTCAAGTGTTGTCTATCAATAACTTCTGTTGTTGTATGCAGTGAGGCATGGACAACAAGAAGATGTCAGCTGTAGTGAGGACAAGCGTGTTCAAGTGTTGTCTATCAATAACTTCTGTTGTTGTATGCAGTGGTACATGGACAAGAAGAAGATGTCAGCTGTAGTGAGAACAAGCGTGTTCAAGTGTTGTCTATCAATAACTTCTGTTGTTGTATGCAGTGGTACATGGACAACAAGAAGATGTCAGCTGTAGTGAGAACAAGCGTGTTCAAGTGTTGTCTATCAATAACTTCTGTTGTTGTATGCAGTGAGACATGGACAACAAGAAGATGTCAGCTGTAGTGAGAACAAGCGTGTTCAAGTGTTGTCTATCAATAACTTCTGTTGTTGTATGCAGTGAGGCATGGACAACAAGAAGATGTCAGCTGTAGTGAGGACAAGCGTGTTCAAGTGTTGTCTATCAATAACTTCTGTTGTTGTATGCAGTGAGGCATGGACAACAAGAAGATGTCAGCTGTAGTGAGGACAAGCGTGTTCAAGTGTTGTCTATCAATAACTTCTGTTGTTGTATGCAGTGAGACATGGACAACAAGAAGATGTCAGCTGTAGTGAGGACAAGCGTGTTCAAGTGCTATCGCTTGATGCTCTGCATTCAGAGGATCTGCTTGATACTCTACACTCAGAGGTGAGGATCTGCTTGATACTCTACACTCTGAGGATCTGCTTGATACTCTACACTCAGAGGAT